TAATATGTGTTATCTCATTTAACTCTCTCAACCATCCTATGATGTGGGTACTAGAATTAGTCCCACTTTTCAGCTGAGAAGACACAGCATGGTCACATAAAACATTAAGTGGCAATTTCTTACACTAATAATAGTCGCAAGGTAGTTCTAATCCTATGTTAAATTAGTAGTTTGGATATTCAGTGGTATAAATTCAGAAAAGAAGACTGGGACTATTTCATGGAAAAGGAAAAAATTAAAGCCAAAGAATGAGTAGGATCTGCCCAGGAAGAACAGCTAATGATATTATAGGTGAAGGAAAGAATGTGACCAAGGTTAGAGAAATAAGAAAGCAACACAGAGGAAGGACAAGAGTAGAGAGTTCAGGTCAAAAAATTAAAACACAAAGCTGGCAAGTCAGGATAGCACCAGAGTGTGGAGGGGCTGCAATCTAAAGGCATTTGCAGTTTTACCTAAATCTGCATTCCTAAATCGGCCTTTAGTTTGTTATGCTCCATGACACTGCCAAGCAGAGCCTGTGCATAGGAGGAGTTTGACATGTGATCAGCTCGGTTTAAGTGATGCAGTGCTTTTCAAACTGCAGTAGGAATCGTATCTTTCCCCCAGCACTGGGGTTTGAACCCATGGTTTTGTACTTGCTAACAATGTGATCTATTGTTGAACTATATTCCCACCCAGGGGCTGGGGATTTAGCTCAGCGGCAAAGCGCCTGCCTCGCAAGCGCAAGGTCGTGAGTTCGGTTCCCGGTGCCGGAGAAAAACAAAAAAAAAAAAAAAAAAAAAAAAAAAAAGAAAATATATTCCCACCCAATATAAAATTTTTGTAACCTGCTTTCACCACTTACTACTGTGGGCATTTTCTGAGTTCTTTAAACATTCTTCCAAATGGGATGGAATTCATTACACAGCTACAACTTTATTTGTTGTCTCTAAGTCTTCATTATATATCTAGGATGAACTCCTATTTTAGCTATCTTCCTGCACATCTATGATTATTTCCTTAGGATAAAGTCCTAGAATTAAGATTCCTGGCTTGGAGAAAATAAACATCTTAAGTTTTTTTTTTTTTTTTTTTTTTCCTTGTGATACCTTTTGGTAAACTCTCCTTTAAAGTATAAAGTTACACTTTTAAATTTTAAGTTAAATGCATTCATAAAACAATTTCTCTTCCACCATCATTTCTGCCAAAAAGACGAAGGCCCTGTTTTAAGTTGAAAATAAGCAAGCATAGCTCTCAGATCTTGGTTCCTAAATGTGGCTTACTGATGCAAGACTGCCTGAAGAAATGACTGATTCTAGGAGTGGGACAGGGGCTAGAAGAGCTTGGAACATCTTTTTGGACCAAAAAGTAAGAAAAATTGCCCAAAATTGAGGGGCATATATCAAAAAAGCATAGCAGCCAACCTGAAGGAGCTTTCACTTACTTTATTTGGGATAATTTAAACACAAAAATGAGAAACAACAGTAACAGACTGTAACACTTTGTAAAAAAAAAACAACTTATAGTCTATAAGCAAACAAATGAGTGAATAAAACAAGGAAGAAAGGAATAAAGAGGAAAACTCATAAAGACAGAACATTTTGCTTTCTACATAATAAAGTATCACAATAATACTTGATTCAAAAAAGAATCATCAAATGGATGCTAAAATAATTAGGGAAGGGTTGAGGAAAGATATTTATATTGCCACAGTATCTATCAACAGCTTAATTACTAATTACAAAGGGAAAAGAGATATTTCACTATGGGGAAATTCAGTGAACCAAGGGTTCAAAATTAACACTGCCAATAATTGGACAAACATCACGCGATTCCCATTAAGTTATGCCAAGGACCACCAAGGACACAAAACCAAAGTAGCATTCCTACCAAAACTGTATAAAATGAAACTACAGGAAGAGAAAATCAGATAACCAAAAATGAGGAACACTGTACATAACAAGTATCCTGTATTCTTCAAAAATGTCAAAGTTTTAAGAGGCAAAGGAAGGCAGAAAAACTGTTCCAGATTAAATCAGAATAAACAGATATAGCAGTTACATGCAATCTTTCATTCTGGGCTAGATCATGGGTTGGAAAAATCGCCACAAAAAGCTATTGGGATAATTGGCAAAATTTGAATTTAGATTGTTCAATAAAGTAGGTTCATTATTAAATTTCCTGAATTTGTTAATTGCACTGTGGTTATGTTTTTAGGAAGGCTGAAGTATTTAAGGATAAAGATATGCAGCATCTGCAATTCATTCTCATGGTGCAGCAAAACTGAAATAAATTTACTGCATATAAACCAATACTATTAAAGCAAATGGTACAAACTATAATACTAAGTGGTGAACTTAGGGAAAGGATATCTTAGAGTTCACAGTACTATTTTGTAATTTTTCTCTAGGTTTAAGAGTTGTTTTGAAATAATGTTTTAAAGAGTATTTTAAGCAATTGCTATTTTTCATTCCTATTTTATTAGAAAAGTAATATAAACTGACTAAAAGAAGAAAATAACATACTCACTAAGCTAGATGTCTGCAAAGAAAGTGAAACAAATAGTCTTCTTTGTCCCTCTCAAAAAAGCAAAGTTAAACCATTTGATATATATTTTCTCCACATTTCACTAAACTCACAAAGCATATAATTACAAAATGTTCCAGCCCCTCTAAAACTCACTGGAGTAACATAGGATTGAATCAATAAACTGGAAAAAACATCTAGAACTCACTACATTTCTTATCACTTAGAAAACACCTAGCTAGCAGCCAAAACACATTTCATAATGAATAACTATAATTCATACAAGAAATGTATACCTCCTTTCCAATAACTGCCAGCATCCAGTCAAAGGTGTTTGGAGTTTTAAAACTCATGTGGAGTCAGTATGTGTTTGGGTATGCTTTGCCATAATGATCTCTTGATCCCTCACCGTGCCTAAATAAACCAAGTCCCTAAAATGAAGTGGAGTCTTGTTTTTCCTACTTACAAGTTTATGAGCTAAGCTCTTGCAGCTTACTGTAATCAACTCAATTTCCAAACTATACACACTCAGATTAAATCCCTACACAGAAGCAGCATTTGGCAGTTTCTACTGATTCCTGCATTCACCCCTGTGCTTTCTTATGTCATTTTTCTGGCTCTCTCAAATAGAGAAGAAAAGGTATTATGTGTATATGTTTAGAGAGCAGGAGTACATATGCCTCAATTCATGTTTCCTATCAAAATCTATTTCCTATTTTATAAAGTCTCACATACAAAAAGAAGAGCATGGTCATTGTACTGAAGTTTTATAACCTAATGCTTAAAATATTATCATACTTATAAATTCTTTAATGTAAATGGATAGAATTGGTTTATTTTCTATTCTTACCTGGTCAACTAGAGGTTTCAAAATGAAATACTAAAGAGCAAGAAGTCTGGCCTCCTGTATTTCACTTGCCCCTTCTTAGGCAGTTTAATATAGTTCTCAAAGTTCTACTTCCCAATCTATAAAATGGGGACAGTAATGTAAAGTTTAAGGGCTTGGTCTAGAGTAAGAAATGGTTTTACTACTTAGCTACTATTGAAATTTTTTCTTCATTAAAAAGTGGGACTAAGGGAGAACACACTTTTTCTATCTGTACATTTCTGTTTTCCATACACTGGCTTTAAAAGCTCTCACTTTTAAAAACTTTGTAAAACCAATAGATCCCCCAAGGCACAGAGATATCCTTCTGGAGTTCTTCTGAGCTGACTTCAACAACTGCATACACCACTGGTGACCCACAATTACAGAGCACTGCTGAGAGGAAACCCACAAAGTGCTGCCATTTGGGTTTCCTTCTCTAATCAATTGCCATGGTTCACTGGCAGCAGTTAATAAAAAAAATTAAATCACTCAGGGAGATGAAAGGATATTTATGGAAAACTTCATTTTGAAAGGATACTGCAAAGAACAGCAATTATCTAAAACCAGACGTAAACAGAAATGACCACAACAAGGTCCAGCAAGTAAAGATTAACAGTTATTGGCAGAATGACTACAGATATACTGTACTACAGATAAATGTGCAGAAATACTGTACATTTCAAAATGCTAGAAGGAGTCTAAATGTTTTCACCATAAAGAAATGATAAACGTTTGAGGAGATGGGTACACTTAGCCTGATTTAAGCAATATATATACAGTGTATGTGTTTACGGGGCACATGGTACTCCATAAATATGTATAATTTTGTATTTATATATCACTTTAAAATCATATTTAAGTTTTATAAAGCATTTTCAAAATTCATCAATGTTGCTGAGCCCCTGCAGATCTGTTCTGCGGGTAGCTTCCTTCTTGAGGCTGAATGTAGGGAGCATGTTGGGCCACGCTCCTAGGCAAGATGAGAGGTCTAAGAGTTACTTCAGAGCTCACCCTGAACCAGCATGAATTCCAGATTTGGAAGTGAAGACCCTCTTCTGGTTTTAAAAGGAAGGGGAGCTCTATCTGGCTCTAGCACCTACTAATTCTTCATAAAACCTATCATCAATGTGAGACGTTAGTAGAGGTGAAATCCAAGAGGCTGGTATTGCTTATTTCAGTAGAAATGGAAATCTATTTTTATTTTTCAAAAGACAACTCCTGAGGACCACAAATTCAAGGAGAGAAACAGCAAGGAGATGAAAACACTACACATTACTCTCTACTGACCTCTCTTGGCTGCCCTAGGAAAGCAAAAGCACAAACCCTGGGAAGGCCTTGAAATTCCACCTCTGCCTCCAGGACAGCAGCTCAGAGAACACTGGCTCTTCTGTGCCATGGAAAGAAATCCTCCTACTTCAGATGACCCCTAGTAGAACTCAACCCTAAAGCACACGCTGCAATAATTTCTATTTATGGGGCTCCCAGAATGGAAATTGGGAAACAGCCTCATGAAGCAGCCCTGACAGCCGTGCCAGTCCCTTGCAGGCCTGTGACCCTCTAACTCTAGGTTGAAAAAGCTTACATAAGTGCTGCCGTGACCATTTCTGATAGCAGGAAAAGACTTTACCTCTTTCTCTATCTTCAGTAGCTTCTTTACAGCCACCTCCTTGTCCTGTGATATCCATTTGGCTCGATAAACACTCCCAAAACTTCCTCCACCGCAGTTTTCAAAAAACTGCAAGTCATCAAATTTAATTTGCACAAAGGAGGCGCCGAGAGACGACATCTCATAATGACAAAGTAGTATACTTCCACAAAAACCTGCAAAGAAAAGAAAAAGAAAAGCTGGATTACAAATAAATTACAAAGAATCCTTTGAATCCTACTTCAGATAGCGTATAACAAGTCCCGTGAAACTTTTAGAAAGATCATGATGACTTAAGAAGAAAAGAAAGATAAATCAAAATGAAAACACTCACACTGGCAGCCCGTGCAAAATTTAACAGCAACTTGCCTAGGCTTTGAAATGCAGCTGTCCACAGAGAAATGGCTCAGATTTCCCTGGGACAAAACCTGTAGCAGCACTTCCTACACCTCCTGAGGAGCTCTGCCTAAAGGCTACTGTGTCACCAGGTCTGCTATCAGGAAGCCCTGACAAACGGGAAGCATGCTTTCAACAGTGAGCTTGCATAGCTCTTCTGGCATGTACGGCATGCCGTCTCTCCATGCTGTACTCATTTCACACAGAATATACATAACCTAAGCCACCGAGCATCCTGGCACCAGCTCAGCCAAAATGCTGCACACCAAACACACATCCAACGCTTAGACTCCAAAACCAAACTTTCAGCTCAGAGATGATAGAAAAGCTGGCAAAGTGTTTTTCCGAAAGTGGCTCCCTGTTCTGTATACTGTAGCAGAACTTAATTAAAGAGCAGAAGATTTGCCCTTGGTTACAATATATTAAGTCATCCAACAACACTGCCAAGGATATTTAAAAAAATATTATGCCTGTTTCCAGAGGAACAGATTACCCCTCCCAGAGATATTACAATGATATTTTCTGTGGTTTAAGAAATCTTACTGTTCTCCAGGTAAGTGGTCATTCTTACTAATATTCTGTATCAAACCACACATTAACAGAAAAAAAAAAGTAAGAAAACAATGGACTAAAATTTCAAACCTGCATAAAAAGCTAAAACAGTGCATAAACAAGTTGTATACATATTCTCACCAATCTTATATAAACCCACATTTGTAGGACATTCTATAAACAACTGGCCTGAGCTCCTCATGACTGTCAATATCATGAAAGATATTTTTTAAAATAAATACAGGGAGACACCTTAACATAAGAATTGAAAGAAATGTGATGACTAAATACAATGTGTAGTTAGTGATTAGGTTCTGGATTAAAAAAAAAAAAAAAAAAAAAAAAAACTACAGAAAATACCATAGGGATTTTAGGGAAATCTGAATAGTAACTGCATTAGATAACATTATTTTATCCGTGACAAAAAATGGTGTTTTAGTTTTGCAGGAGGATGTCCTTGTTCTTGGGAGATAATACAGATATATTAAAGTATGTTATGTACAACTTACTTTAAAATGGCTCAGGCACCATGTTGGCCCCCCTTAAAAAGGGGAGGGGACAACATGCCAGAGAGAGAAAGCAATGTGGTAAAATGTTAAGAACTGGTAAATGTAGGTAAAACGTACTGGGCATTTTACTATTCTTTCCACTCTTCTGTGAGTCTGATTTTTTCAAAATAAAAAGATAGACCAGGGAAATTTATGTCAACACATATTCACAAAGCCTCCATAAGCAACTGAGGCCTTTGCTGAGTGATGTAGTCAGCTCAGAGGTCCAAAGGTGCAGCTGATACCATCCCATTTTAGGAATGTCAGACCAGTGGAAAATGTTGGTTTCTTATGTGAAGTCAAACTGCTCTACTTTAGGGAGAAGGGAAGAAAGAGAAGGGTTGATTGTTTATCCTCAAATTCAGAAGATAGAGTGAACATAAAAACATGGTTTAGAAGAAACATGTATCTGATAGAGGCTACAAATATATCCAAATCAACAATTACCTTACCGATTTTTCTACAATGAATTTTCAGGTAACTGCAGAAAAGAAGAACCTTTGGATAAAATTTAGGAACGTGCCAAAGTTAGTACATAGTATACACAAACTAAAAAGTTCATTCAACAAAATGCAAAACATCATATGTAAGGTTTCTCCATCATTGCAGATGCTAGGCCTACGTTTTATTAATTTTATCCAAGTATAAAAAATAACACCAATACTCTGAGAGGCCAAGCACAATTCTGAGCTCATCTTGGGCAATTTAGCAACTTAGAGATCCTGTCTCAAAATAAAAAATAAAAAAGGGCTGGGGATAGGGCTATAATTCAGTGCAAAGGCCCTGGGTTGAATTCCCAGTGCAGAAAAACAAAAATACAAAATTTTAAAGAAGTGAAAAAAGGAAAAGAAATAGGACCGCAAAAATATAATACAAAACAGAAGTCCCCCATCCCACTGTTCCTCACACCCAATTCACACTCTCCAGAGGCAAATAATTTCAACTCCTTTAGCATTTCCTTCTGCTATTTAACTCCACATTTCTAAATAATGTGTTTACAATGTGGTTTCTTGATTTTTTTTTTTTTTGTTTTGGATACTATGTATGTCATACTTGCACTTGCTCAACCCTCCATTCCCGATTATATTGTAACACTTGGTTAAGTCAATATGTATTCAGTGTTTATAGGAGTCTGACAAAGTGAATACTATTTTCAGAAGTGCCATGTAGAATTTAATGGTTATATTTCCTTTCCTGGATAATTTTGTTTCCCCCAAAGTTATCAGTTGTCTTTTGTCATTTTGCTCGCTTAGCTTTTTATGCATTAGTTATTCACCTCATCAAACTCTCCCAAGAACTGTAAAAAAACCCTTTGATAAAATAAAAATACCAGATTCTTTCTTCTTTAGCTCCCTTCCCCCCTGCTCCCCTTAGAGACATTTCTACATACTTCATCCTGATTCTTCTGGCTGGAATGGTTGCTAGGTGTCAGTTGGACTGTGACTTCCTTCCTTTTGTTACCATTTAAGAATTCCCTTCACCTTTTCCTCTGAGGGAAACCTTATTCTTGGATCTTTTATTTTCTCTTTCTTGTTTTTTCCCTGTATTTTGATAACACATGTCTCCCATTAACTACCTGGATAAAGTGTATGGAATATAAGTTTTGAGAATCTGTGAGTGTTAAAATGTCCTGACTGGTAGCCTGGCTGGGTATGTAATTCTAGGTAAGAAATTAATTTTCCAGGTAACTTTGAAAGTATGACTTCTTGTAAATTCTAATAAGGCTATTGAGCAATCTGATGCTACTCTGATTACTCATATCCTCTTTACATTTATTTTTCTCTCTGAAAGCTTTTGGGACATCTTTTTATTTTCTATTCAACCCTGGAGTCCTGAATTTTATAGACTATGCTTAGGGACTATGATGAGACTTTCTCATTCTCTGATAAGATGCTCAGTGAACTGTTTCAATCTTCAACGCCTATCTTTCATTCCAGGAGACTTTCTTGTGTTGTTCCTTTACCACTTAGTGACTTTCACTTCAGGTCTTCTCATTTCCCACATGTACATGAAGAATTTCTACTGGTTCTCCTCATCTCACTGTACCTTGCACAGGTTAGTGTCTCTGCCCAGCCAACTCCTGTCCCTGACCACTTCTTTGAGCTCCTTTTCTGTGCCACAGAACCTTTCTGTACTCTTTCACCCTTCCTACTAAATTCCCACCAGACTACACATAAATTTCCCAAAAGCAAAACTTGGCTGTATTACTCCTGGGTCTTTAGCACCTTATGCATGGGCAAACACATAGCAGGTACCTTTTCTATTCAAAAACATTTGCTGAATAAATGAATAAATAGTTTCTGGTTATTCTACCATTATACTTTTTGCAGCTTGAAAGATTTTAATTAAACTAACTAAAATCTGAAAACTGAGGTTTTTACCAGTACCCCTAGAAGATCCCAAAGCAAATCCTAATTTGGTAACTGTTGCCAAGGTTTCGCAAGACCCTGCGGAGCATGTTTGGGCGCCTCCAGTATTGATTTCCTCTGAGTCTTAGGGTAGGGAGGGGTAGAGGAGGAGTACAGAAATCCTTTCCAGAATAAAGGCAGAAATCCGAACCAGGATGACATCAATACATTTAATCTAAACCCACTGAAAAGCACCCTTCTCTAGGATCTTCACCCCTCCACATGAGGCAACTAGTTATATTCTTCCCTAAATTACTGTTATGCTGTGATACACCCTGCCATTTGGGCATTGGCTATATATGAATGGAATCTATGCAATTACTTGAATGCTTTATTGAGACTGTAAAAAAGTTAAATCCTGTCTGATTATAAAGAGACTAACAACTCTAGTGTGTCTCAGTAGAGGTTTTAATCCCAGTGAGCTTGGCAAACTAAAAAAATTGGTAGAGGTTTCCATTCCTATACACACTATACGAACATTGAGCTTTCTCTACTTTCATTTAGTCATTATTCTAAAAAGATCAACATATGACCAGGAGAATGAAAAATCTAGGTTGTTAATTAATCATGTCCACAGCATCTGGGGAAGACTGCTACCTGATCAAATTATATTCTTGTCTTTCAAATGTGTTCACCAATGACTACACCATCTATACAAATTTATTTACACACTATAACATCACACACAATGTTTCCACCAATGTTAAAAGAATTACTTCTCCATTTTTCACAGGCAAATGTTCTCCATGTAACAATTCCCAGCCCTTGTTTCCTTGTTTTTCAACACACAGCACTTTCTTCCAAAAGACAGAAATTTCGACACAGGAGCAGCATGCTGCAGGGGAAAGACACCCAACCTAACAGACAGATCTAGCAGCAAACCCAAAGACACACTATTAGATCCTGGTCCTGGCACGTGCCTCTCTGACCTCAGGTTTCTCACTGGCAATAACACGTATTCTGCGGCAGGTTTGGGGACATGGGAGAAGATGTGAAAGTGCCTTGCATAGTGGCCAGCATGTGGTATACACACAACACATGGAAATTATGGTTCTCTAATTACTTAACAAGTTTTGATTCCATACTTAGCCATCTGTTTCTTCCGCCTTCACAGTCAAGTATGCTTTCCTCAACAGCTTCCCCCTTCTCATTCTCAGAATTATTTTTTATTCCCTCGCTTTTGCACAGCAATTATTAATAAATAAATAGACTATAGATCCGTAAGTCTTCTTCATCTGCTTTTCTTTGCATATGATTAATTTTTTCTCACTCTTCTGTTTGCCACCTTGCTTTGGTTTAGGTCAGTTTTGAAAGATCTTATAAGCAGATATGACATTTTTCTTTTGAACTATTGCTGATACAGAGAATGAGTATTTAAGTTAAAAAAGGCAATACTTTTATCATTTTCCTTTTTAGATATTAGCATTTTGGGAGCTATTTATGCAATCATAGCACTTGCTTTGGTAGAATCCCTGAGTATACAGCTTCCAATGTCTACTTTCACACCTTATCTACTACCATATTGCAGGACATCTAGCTTAGATAAACTGTAACCTGCTTTATCACATATGTGCAAATCATAAC